GAGCAGCATGTTAGATGTGCTTCCACATTTTGGATGCTTGAACAGGTGGTGGTTTTCAGGGGGAGATGTATTTCATTTTATACCACTCAGCAATAGCTGAATCCGTTGAGAGAAATTTCCATATGAACGAACAAGTAAAGCTATGATAGAGAGCATCAATAGCAGGAATCCTAAACTGCCATTATTTTTCGATTTACAAATATTTTTTCAAGAGATGATATGCATTCTTCTACCAATGGTATTTACCATGAAGTAAAAACTTTGAACAAAGCTTTTCAATAATCTTACAACATTTCCTTGGCATAATGGCTCCTCTAATTCGATATGCAATAGTATTAGAAATGCTAAATTTTAAAAATTGCAATCTACCAGCAAATGATAAGAATTTAACTTTCCAACCGTCAAATAAAGAGTAAATCTTATTTAAAAGCGGTTGAAAGTGAATGTTTTTCAGCTTGTCCTTGGAAATAAGAAGACCCAGGTAAGTAAAGAATGGATCAGTTTTGGTGATACCAAGAATTGCACAAGTGTCCTCCATGGGAGAGTTGTTGGTAGAAAATATGATAGAGCTTTTGTTAACATTAACCTTAAGAGATGAAGCATCGACAAACTTTTGAAGAATAAGCTTAAGGCTATCGACATTCTAAATGTCAGAATTCCCAAAAACGAATAAGTCGTATGTATATAATAGGTGATTAAGATTATTACCCGATTCTGTAATGCCATAGAAAGTATTGTCCTTATTTGATTCAATGGTACAATAAAGAGTATCCATAACTATATTGCAAAGGTGTGAAAGCGGGCAGCCTTGCCTAAGACTCGAAGATGAATGAAAGTAATCCTGCCCTCTAGAGACCCATTTATGCAAATGGAGAAATAAACAAATTCAATACACCCTTTAATCCATTTTAAAAACATTTTCGGAATCCTTTTTTGCCTCATCCTATGAATAAGAAAATCTCTAGATACCATGTCAAAAACTTTAAAGATATCTAGTTTTGCACAAAAAAGATTTCTCTTATTCTTAAATTTCCTAAGCACCTCTGAGGCCAGAATGATAGTATCAAAGGAACACCTTTTGTGGATAAATCCTACTTGGCTATCATAGATAATAAAAGGAAGCACTTTTTTTAGTATATTAGCAAGAAGTTTAGCAACAATCTTGTAAAAAACATTACATAAAGAAATGGGTCTATAGTCAGAAATAGAAGAAGCATGAGATTTCTTGGGGATAAGAGTAATGGTCGTAGCTTTTTCCCCTTTAGGAAAATGGCCATATTTAAAGAAATTCTTCACAGCATTGCAAACTTTAATGCCCATAATATCCCAATTTTTCTTTTAAAATTCAGCAGTATAACCGTCCGGACCAGGGGAGGAGCCGTTAAGAAAAGCGAAAACCACATCTTTGATGTCTTTATTATTAAAAGGACCAACCAAATAATTAGCCGCCTCAGAAGAAAGTAAGACACCAGTAGAAAGTTCCATGGAATTAGCAAAAGGGGGAACAGGAGTAATAAAAAGATTGCTAAAGTGATTAATCAAAGCTTGAGCAATGTCATTATGCTCCGTAAAATTACCATCTGGCGTAGAAAGGATTTTAATAGTATTAATATTTTTTCTATTTCTAATTTTAGCATAAAGGAAACCCAAATCCTCTTCACCAGCAGTAAACCATTTGACTTTAGCCCTTTGAAGCAACCAAGAAGCCCAAGAAGCTTGATAATTAGAAAGTAAATCATTAATAACCTTAAGCTGAGAGTTAATAGTACACTCTAAGGGATGCTTCTCAATCTCATTAAGATAAAACCGCTACTTATTTTAAGATATTCAATGGCTTTAGAAATGTAGCAAGCAGAGTTCCAATTCTTTTTCTTAAGAAAATTTTTCAAAGTCTGCAAGCTAGAATAAAGGGAAGCATTGGGACTAGAAGAGGGGAAACTTTGAAAAGCATCCAGCAAAGCTTCTCTAAAGCCCGTCTGATTAGACCAATAGTTTTTAAAAAGAAATCTCGACGGTTTAAACTGAATATTATCAAAATGAATCATAAGAGGAGAATGGTCAGAGCGTTGGGGAGTATCCACATTATAATAGGAATTAGGATAAATATCCAACAAATTAGTGTTGACCAAAGCCCTATCCAACTTAATATGTATGGGATTATCTTTCTGCTGATTGAACCAAGTATAATACAAACCAACCGAAGCAAGATCAATAAGTTCACAATCAAAAATAGTATTATTAAAATCACTATATCGATTAGAATGTAAAGTAGCACCCCCTAATTTTTCTTGTTCATACCTGCAGCAGTTGAAATCCCCAACTAAAATCCACGGCTGAGTAATATTATCAACCAGATCTCTAACAAGAGTCCAGAGGGACTTCCTATCATCACAAGTGTTAGTAGAATAAACAATAGTAATAAAAAAAGAGGTGGAGGAGTCTAAATTAACTTTACCATGAATACATTGGGAAGAAATAACTAAAGGGTTAAAAGAGATAGAAGAAGAATCCCATTTAACCCAAATTCTTCCAGGGGAAGAAACAACAAAATTGTTACAACAACCCTCATTCTCAAAGAGCTTATGGGAATTAACGAACCAAGTATCTTCAAGCATAGACTGATGAATCTTCGCTTCAAGAACACAGAACATTTTCAATTTTTAGCTGTTAATAAGGTTTTTACAAGCTAGAATTTTTTCAGGCTTGTTAAAACCTCTAACATTCCAGCACCCAATAGAAGGAGGGCTCATTTGAATTTTGAGGAAGAGGGTTTTGCCTTTTTGGCAGTGTTCCCTTTAGTGGGTTTTTTGGCAGGAGAAGTATCCTTGGTATTAGCAGGATACTTATTCGAGGAGGAGGGATGTTTCCCTAGAGGAGGATTAGAATGTTTATCCAAAATCAGCGAGGATACTTCATCAGTATCAGTTTCAAGTTGAAGATCATCATTGCCTTCCATATTGAGAATTTTGAACTTATTGTCAATAGGAATCACCGAAGATATATGAGAGGAATTTATGTAATTAGGTTCTGAAGAAGATAGCTCTTCTGTGGGCATATTAAGGTTGGGTATGTTGTGATCTTTTTCCAATATGATCTTAGAATTAAGCTTGGAGATATTTATCTAATCAGTAGTAATTTCATGTATAACAGATGGTTCAGTAGGAGGAGGAGAATGTAATGTAAGCTCAGCAATCTTCTCAGGTTGAATAGGATGTTTAGTGGGTGCAGGAGAAGCAGGCTTGGAAAGAGGATGTTCTGTGGGTGTAGGGAGAAGAGGAGGAAGTTTGGAATTCGTGCGGAGTCTATAACGGGGATTTCTGCTCGTACTTCTGCCCCTCATATTGGGTAGATTATTATTAAGCAAAGGTTGATTTGGTTTAGGATTAGAGGGGCAAAGATTAGAAGGGTGGATAAGAGATCCGCAAGATTCACAAGGAGACGGTTTCCAATCATAGATAACTTTCAGAGAGAAGTCCTCCCCATCAATATCAATCGCAATTTCTTTCGGAAGCTTAGAGTCTTTGGAGATCAAGACACAAATTCAAGCAAAATTAAGTCTTGTACGTTTGGCAGTGAGAGCATCTACCATAAGCGGAACTCCAATAAAACTAGCGATTTTTGATATTCCCGAAGGTGACCAAAGAGCAAGCGGAACATCAAAAATCTTAACCCAAATCGGGATGGAAGCATACTCATCTCTTTTAGGTTTGAATTTGGGAGACCATTGTTGAAGAACAAAAGGTTTCCCAAGCAAAAACCAAGGTCCACCAAACCAAACCATATTATAGTCATCCAAATTATTAAACTTCAAAAGGAAAAACCCATCTGAAAGAGAGATTAAAGATAGAGATCCCTGAAGTTGCCATAGCTTTTTCATGGCAGAAAGAAACCTTTCATAATACGGTCTCAGACCGATAGAATACCCAATAAGAGATAAGTTCCAGAGAGAGATACCTTCCGAGAGATCATCAACTTTGAAGGAAAGTTTTTGTTCCGGGGGAACAAAAGAAACAGGAAAAACCTCAGATCTGGTTTCAGGAGCCGCAGTGAAATTGTTCGTCCATGGAGCCGGAGCAGCCAAAGACGAAGGATCGAGTTGCGTAGAAGATGGAAGAGGAGGAAAATCAGAAGATTTTCCAACCATCGTCGATGGAATGGAGGGGCAAAAGCCCCCAGACGAAACCCTAAGCGCCGCAAGCAAAAAGTTTCTCAGAGAGGAAACCCTAAGCGTCGCTCAGATCAGTCACATCCTTTTCACGCTCTTGTAGTTGTTGAGCTATTAATAGCAATTTCCCCTCAAACAATACATGACCATGTCTTGAATTTATTTTTTTCCTAATATGCATTTATTGGAATTGAATTGAATTATACATGCATTTTCATATATCTCAGTTAAATTTTGGCATAGGTTTTTGTAAATTCATAAACTAATAAGATTTATATCAAATAGCCTCGAAAAATTCAGGGAAGATCAAGAACAAACCCTAATTTACCTTTGCCAAAAAAAAAAAACTCATATATGATTAACAATTTATTAATTATAATTAAAAATAGAAAATCAAATTCCGCATTCAATTGTTTTTCCTCATTCTAGATTGCCTACTTTAGTTTTGCGCTTTTTCTTTAGTGTGTGATTTGATTATCCGTTTTAAATTATTTGACAACCTTGATCCTTGAAAATTTCACGGAAGATCAAGAACAAACCCTAATTTACCTCTGCCAAAAAAAACTCATATATGATTAACAATTTATTAATTATAATTAAAAATAGAAAATCAAATTCCGCATTCAATTGATTTTCCGCATTCTAGATTGCCTACTTTAGTTTTGCGCTTTTTCTTTAGTGTGTGATTTGATTATCCGTTTTAAATTATTTGACAACCTTGCTCCTTAAACTTAATTTAATTTAATTTAAAACGTGCAAATGAGGTAAGCTCACTTGAGAGGTGACTGTAAACCAGCTCACCCGGACGATGCCAGACCTCCAACTTCAAGTATGTGTGCGTGAGAATGAGCAGAGATTTATTCTAATCGGCTGCTATGACTGCAATTCTTTCGGGGCCAGCCGCGCCTTTGACCTGCTTCGCAAAGGCGAAGAAAGCAGTCTCCTTTCAAGACAAACAGTACCATTTTTTAGGCAGAGGCGTCCTTTTCGATCCATCACTTAGCTCTGTGATCCCAAGAAGCTCCGCATATGGGCGGATGACTATGAAGAGAAAGTCCAATCTTATACCCAGAAGACCGTTATCTCCTGTCATGGAGTGGCAAGACTGCAGGTATTTGATCAATTGCTTGTTCAAACAATTCAATCTGTTTCTTGAATGGGATTTGGGTTGCATTTGTTCTTTCATACATATTTTAACTGACTTCCGTTTTGTTGTGTTCCATGGTTGGAGGAGCTTTGAATCAAAGTAATAATGTTTGAATATCCTTCCATTTTGCTAGTTATTGTCTCTTTTGAAATGTAAATGAGATGCATGAAATAAATAGTGTATGTATTTTTGAGAGGATACTGAGACAATGCCGCACCTGTATAATTTGTATATCTGTAGATGGAAATCTGTTTACTCTACTGGGGCTTATTTTGTTCCTGGATATACGATTGAAATTTACTTATTCCCTATGTTGTTGCTCCAAAAAATAGCAAGATTGCGTTATATCTTGAAGCCTTCTTAGTTTCTCTTGATTCCTTTGGGTTCAGTAGATTTATAGCAATTCAAACTACTTTGTAAGATTTTGGAGTGTTTAAAAGAAGGCCTTGAGAATAGAGTCTTTTAAGTGTTGAAAACCCACCAAAAAGCAGCATGAATTTTGTTGGGTGATGCTTACTTGTTCTTTATCTTGTAATACTTGTAATTGCGTTCGCGTTATTTTATTTTATTTTATCTTTTTTGAATCAATCTAGTTTCAGATTTCGACCGTCATGGCAGTTTGCATTTTAGATATCGAGAGGCCTATGTTGCATCGATAAGGATACAGTGACACAGATATGACACGATATAGATACAGGACACATCAATTCTTAAAAATATAGTATACGGGTACGACGCGGACATGTCATTATAATTTATAAATCATACATAAAAATTAAAAAAACAATCAATGCATAATATTTGAAATGACAAAAAAATGAAAGCAACATTATTTGTAGCCTTATAGCTTATAATATCAAAATAAAAGTAAGCATTGAGTCAAGGGAAGAGTTAAAACTAAAACTCATTTGCCTAATAAGAATTTTGTGGGATGATTCCACTAATTATGTTTTTGCATAATTTGATGGCATGTTTACTGAATAATATATGAGAGCTAAATTTCTTTTTTTTTTCCATTTAAGAAAACATACAAACCACAATAACATGAATTTTTTAATACATGAATAAAAAATCAAAGCATTACAAATGCAAAATAATTGATGCCCTAATATCATATTTTCTAGTAAACTAACATCAATGTAAATGGCTCGCGGGTTTGAGAATGAGAGAAACTCGCTCGCAGCCGCGGAAGCAAATATGACGCGTCTTTTTTTGGATTTTTTTTGACTTTCAACGGACACGCGTATCCGATACGTGTGTCCTTTTGAAATTAAATATTATTTTAATTGGATACGGCTTTGACATATCTGACACGTTTTGGTGCTGTATCAAACGTGTATCGTGTCTGACACGTATCCAATACAGCATGCCTTCATAAATAGGTGTATCGATGCAACATAGTCGAGAGGTCAGATATTTAGACCTTTGTCTAATATCTCAGCAATACTAGTTTTCCTTGACAAAACATGGAAAATGGTTTAGTGTTTTTTAGTCAACATGTGTTTATAATTCATACCATCCTAGAAAAGCTTCTAATAGAAATTATATATTAAAAAAAAAAAACTGAAGTAGAATAGATGGTGGACCGCCCATTAAGTTTCCCTGTATAACTGAACCGAGTAGCTCCCACAGATTAGTGGCACGGCAGCAATAACCTGAGAGAGGTGGCAGCAGAGAGGGAGGAGGTTATGGGCTCAGGTGAGTGGAGTTTAAGGCAGGATTATAGGGGTGGTTTCCTAAGGATGGTTACATAGTTTTCAAAGCTGGTTGTAAGAATGCTTACTTGTATGCATGATTGGTGTTTTTAATGGTTTTTTGTTTTATTCTTGCATTTCAGTTCATGTTAGCAATTGTTCAAACCTTTGTCCCTACTGGTTATAACTTATAAGCAATACAGCTGGTCTTCTTTAATCATCTAGGTAAGTAACAGAGCAATTTACCAAACTCCTAGTTGGTCATTGATTCTAAACATATACAAATATTTCCATAGTGTACAACTATTATTTTCTCTTTTTTAGGAGATATTCGCTTATTGTATTTTTACCTTTGTTGCTCTCTTCTTCAACATATAAGTAGGGATTTTATTTTCAAATACAATAGAATGCAAATATTTAATTTATCTCTCACTCTCCTTTCTTGTAACATGGTGTCAGAGCGATATTACCTCTAATCTTGCTTTCACTAAAGCATCTTTTTCGCTAAACCTATTAGAATCTTCGTGTATCTAAACATTTTTAATGCAGCTTTTTGGCTGAATATTTGGATCTAGTCTCCTCTTATTGAAGCCCATTGTGTCAGCATCTTACCAATGTAATCATTGATCTTCAAGCCTCTGCTCACCATCATACACATACTCTCCTCTCTCTCTCTCTCTCTCTCTCTCTCTCTCTCTCTCTCTCTCTCTCTCTCTCTAAATTTTGCTCTTCAGGAGACAACCGCCATCGTCTCGTCCCTTTTCATCTTTTGAGGGTTGCAATCTCATTGCTCATAACTATCTTGCTACCTCGATGCCTCACCACAATCATTAATAACTATAGGCAAATCCAAGCTTGCGCATCCTATTGCTACTACATTAGATGGATCTGACTATAACCTTTGGAGCTAGAAAATATTGAGTTTCCTCAAAAACTACCAAGTGTGGGAGTATATCATTGAAAATGTTAATAACTTTCTTTCTGAAAATCATCCTCTTTGGGCTCATTTTGATTTGCTTTGCCCAACGATAATATTTGGTCCATTCTCTATTACTATGAATAATGCCTATTAATTTAGTTTTTTATAGTATTATTTGATTACTATCAATCTATTTGTGCTTCTTTACTCAATCCCAACTGTCTCATTACCATGAAAAAGTTGCCTTTCTTGAACTTATCTCAGAGATGAAACAACTTGTTATGGAAAGAGTTTTCCTCAATAGCTTTTTTATTTTTACTTATTTATATGATAAAAATAATTCTTATTTATGATTATCATTTATGGCCATATGTGTGTAGATACTATTAGGGCACTGGTCACTCTCCATGAGCTTGTCCTAAATTCTTACTTATATGTGTCACCACTGCTACAAAATCTTTCTTAGGTATAACAATAACAAATGATCAGAAGTCTTTCCTGCCTTCCTACCTAATCTTCTGGTTGCTAAACTCTTGGATGGTCTTCTTGGTCTCATACTTTGTCTGGTATAAAGGTTTTTGTTATTGCTGCTTCTTCCACAACCGCTGATACTTATCCTTAGTTATGGTTACTCTTTCTATGATTGATCTAAATAGCTTTCCTTTTACACGAAATTTATCACTTTGATCTTGAAATACAGAAGTCCGTTCTATCTTATCATTTACATCAACACAAAACTGCACCTCAATACTCTTGTTTTCACACATCAAACAACAAATGGTTAGGTTTAATGCAAGCATTATCGTATTCTTAACATTATGCATCCTTGCTTCTCTCAACCTTATGTCTTGAATTTCTCTAGGGGGAGGCTTCTCTCACTATAATTTATACAATCAATTGAATTCCTTCTCTTACTACTTTTTATCATTATGGAATTCTCCTACTATTTTATATTAGTGTTCGCATGATGTACTTTATTGTAAGATCCTTGACTACACATTCTTGTTGGGCTTTTGGTTGTGCTTTCTTTATTTTTTTATGACTATGAGTGAAATAAACTTCAAAGTCAATCTCATCTTTTTTGCTTCTTAAGCTATAACCCATAGGGCAAGAGCTATTGTTTTTGGGATCTATTATAGTGTCTTCAAATCTCTCACCATGCCATGTTCTGGGAACATGATATATTTGATTCTTTATTTCAATTTTATCTTTCCATCCTCTTCCTCCCTTCCTTCACTTGATCTCTTTTCCTTTTTGTAATTGATCTGTTGACATCAACACTATTAATGATATTTCTTTTCATGTACTGTGTTAGACCGATTCCTGGATTGGTCCAGCCGGTCCATCCTGGACCGGCCTTGGTTTACCATAGGCGGAATAGAGGTTCAGTCTTACACTTTTAACCTTTGATCTGTTGACATCAACACTATTAATGATATTTCTTTTCATGTACTGTGTTAGACCGATTCCTGGATTGGTCCAGCCGGTCTATCCTGGACCGGCCTTGGTTTAACATAGGCGGAATAGAGGTTCATCCCTAGCCATTGCCTCCACCCATCCTGGACCGGCCTTGGTTTACCATAGGCGGAATAGAGGTTCATCCCTAGCCATTGCCTCCACCTTTTGGGGTAGGGTCCAGAAGCCACATTAATGAGAAATTAAGTGAGTTTAGAAGGAAAAATCTCAAATTGAGGGGTTGTTTTGGAATTGGGGAGAATTTGTGTATGTTTTAGTAGGTCTCCTAGGGTTTGTTTTATCGAATATTTTGCTTGAGAGCCGGATCTTTCTCTCAAATCGAAGATCCATTGTATTTTTGCTTCTCCTCTTCTTCCTACCATCAATTAAAACGTTCTTTTGTGAGTTTCTACCTAAATCTTGTCTCTTTTTATTGTTTGGGGTTTGCTGAAATTCAAATTCAACCAAGAGAGTTTACAATATATTGGAATATTTCCTATCAAATTGGTGTCAAAGTCCTCAATTCAGGGTACCTATGATCAGAAGAAAAATGGAAATATTGGATAGAGAGATAGGCCAATTAAAATCAAATTTGGTGGGGAAGAAATGTTGAGGAAGTTGCTTCCCAACCCAAAATGATGTCATCGGAGGTGAGGGAGCCATCGACGACCAAGGAAGTGCTGAAAACCAGAATCCAATAAGGAGGGAAAAATCACGAGGTAGAGATTTTGGGGGGAGAGGATGGGATGCCTCCCCTAGAACCTATTTTTAGGGAGCAGATGAATTATGGGTATGAGCTAGGGGTGGTGATTTTGCAAGAAGAAGGGTTGATTTTGAGCGAAGGGGTGTTAAGTTTGAAAGAAGAAGGGTTTGAGTATGAATGTAGAAGGGAGGAT